TGTACTGCTTTTCCAGCAGTTCCAAGTGGTTTACATTTTAAAATTAATTAATTAATTAAAAGCACCTTCAAAAGAAAAAAAAGGGGGAGAAATCACAACATCAGCACACCACTACAGATTTAAAGCAGCCACGGAAAGCCCTTTTTCCAGTCAAAAACCAAATAGAAGAAGTAGTTCCTGCTGCATCTCTTTAAAAATTGTGTCTCAAATTGAAACAGTGTCTCAATTTGTGGTCTGTCGGGTCCCATCTGCACTGTCTATTTAAAACAGTATCATATCTCTGTAAAGAACTGTGGCTTCCTTGAAAGAACCCTGGGAACTGCAGTTGGGTGCTGAGAGTCATCAGGTGAGCCCTATTCGCTTCGCAGGGCTACTATTCCCAGAGTGCTTTAATTCTCAATCTGTCTTCCCAGGGAGTTCTGTGAAGGGAATAGGGTTCTCTTAAAAGCTCTCCATGCCATTAAAAAAAACCTACAGTTCCCACGTTTCTTGGGACAGGGAGCCATGACTGTTTAAAAGGGTATTTTAAATGTATACTGTAGATGGGGCCTCACTGAGGAAACCCAGGTCTGAGCTGGCAGCAAGGATGGAAGAGAGAATACAACCTGCTTATTGGTCCATGCAGAGAACCAGCGATGATCCTTAGTGTGTGATGGTCTTGGGAAAACTGGTGAAGATTCTATTTCACAAAACCGTCATTTCACTTCTGGGTCCCCAGGTACAACAGCAAAGGTTTGTAGTGCTGGTCCTCAACTACAGCGAGGTCACAGTGGCTGAGTACACACTACGCATTCAAAGCACACAGTCACTCCCGATAATCTTGAGAACTGTAGTTCATAGAGCTACAGTTCCCAGCACCCTTGAACTACAATTCCCATGATTCTTTGGGGGTTCTAAATGTGATTCAGATGTGTACACAGCTGATAGGCGTTAACAGCGTTTGCTCACATTCACTTGCCCCCTCCTCTCTCTTATGTGCCTCTATTCCCTGTCAGATTTGGCACTGTATGTTCCTAGGGGCAGGGACTCTGGTTTATGCTGTAGAGCATCATATACACTGACGGGGTTTCTGCAAATAAAAATGATGACAGTGAAACTCTAAAAGGTGGCATACTAAGGATTTCTGAACATAGGAAGCACTTTGGAGCAATTTAAATCAGGCATAGGCAAACTCAGCCCTCCAGGTGTTTTTGGGACTACAACTCCCGTCATTCCCTTGCTAACAGGACCAGTGGTCAGGGATGATGGGAGTTGTAGTCCCAAAACATCTGGAGGGTCAAGTTTGCCTGTGCCTGATTTAAATATTTGCCGTTTTTGATGGAGCGGCGGTGTTGAAATATTTTGTACAAACACACCGTAATTGCTAAACCTCGACCAACTTGCTCAGTGCCAGATGTCAAATTCTGCACCTGGGTAAGATCACCTCTGAGACACTCTTATTTCCTTGCCCTTGATTAGAAGCCAATCCAGAAAACACAACCAACTGTTGTATTTATTGACATTATGCAAAATATGGAAATTTCAGATTGCATTTGCTAGTGAAAGCCCACTAGCTGTACCCTACGGAGGCACTTGGTGCCTTCTCATTAATGCATAAAATGTGCTTTTTTCTTCCTGAGTTGTACTTAGGTGGTTTCAGAGAGAGAACAAAGTGTGTGCAAAGCGACGTCTTCAAGGTTAGTTTAAAAATAGAAACTTAAAAAAAACAAACCAGCCGAGCGGCACACTTGATGTCACTGCAGATTATTCTAAAATAACTTTTTTTTTAAAAAAAAAGTGATTTCTCTAAAGGCCTAAAACTACTGAAGTGGAATAAAGAAAACAGAAGCACTTTTTAAAGGTATAAATTAACCACACGTGAGAAATTGTTAATTTGTCCTCATGGGTTGGTAGAACTTGATATTCATTGAAATAAATGGGTCTGAAATTAAGTCAAGGCCAACTTGTCCCATTGATTTCAGCAGGACAGCAGTTTACTGAGACTGCAACCCTTTACATACTTACCCGGGAAGAAGTCCCATTGAACTGAATGGTCCTTACTTCTGAGCAGGCATGCATAGAATTGCACTGTTAGTGGATTTTCAGTGATAATGGTCCTATATACCCCAGCTTGAAGAGCACTCAAAACTATCTGGCATATTTTTTTTAATCTATGCCTACAGGCTGGATGGAGGGGAGAGTGCCTTTGAGCATGTACAGAGTGCTTTTTATCAATCCTAAGTAATCACAATAAGAGCACATTCAGGCACATTGGCTTAGCCCATGGCTTCCAAGTTGGTTTGAACCTTGACACCTGTTGTTTCACAAATTAAGCAATAGAGATGTGAGTCACATTTGGGGTATAAGCCAGTCAAAGTTAACACTTAACTCTCCCATTGAAATCAATGGGACAAGAAAGTGTTTGCCTTTGAACAGGTCATGCCCATGGTTAAATTCAGAGTTCTCTTTCCACCAGGCTTCTTCCAATTATTCCTTGTGCTCTTTTAAGAAAGCTTTTGATCTAAATAGCCAATATTTTTAGTTAATATGCAGGCAGGCAAACATGTATACTGAGAGCATTAAAAAAATATATATTTTCATCCTTCTGCAACATATTACAAAGTATTTCAATTATATACTCACAATTTTAAATACATACACAAGGTAAGAGTCAGCAGATGTACCGAAACTCACAAAAGGAAGTTATGTCATTGGGTCCAGCTAAACTAAACTAAACCGCCAACCCATTCAACAAACTATCACGACAGTGTTCAATACAATCATTAAAACAGTATAACATTATAAAAGATGGAACTAATTTTTAACACTGGGTCAAATTAATTCTCTAAAAGCACTTTGGAATGCAGAAATGAATTTTGGAACGCAGAAATGAAGAAAACCATCAAATCTAGCATGTTGGGGGCCCCACATTATCTAAATTATATAATTTGGTATTTGAATGATTGGTCTTAATAATTGTATTATAAATTGGTATTGTTATAACGAGGCTATTATTGCACTGTGATTGAAAACTGATAAAAATTTACTATATAAAAAGATAAAAGCACTTGGAGAAGCAGAACAAATTCAGCAAGTGGAAAAATATCAGAATTAAAGCACAGGGGTGGGGGTTAATACTCTGCTGTGTTTCCCTCCCTGATCCCCCCCCCAAAAAAAACCCCAACTTCACAAAGATTGTTCCAAAGCATTCAGGTTTTGATTTCTACAAAGACCCTTTATGACGGGGGGGGGGAGATTGAAGTGAAGGGGAGACTCAGCAAAATAAGTCTCAGTTTTGGCCCCCAAAAGAAACATTCTTTTTAAACAAAGTTAGAAAGACATAAACTACAAAATCTCTCCAAGTGCCAGATTACCTCTCAAGCAAGCAATTTACTGCGGTGAACTGCACACCTTCCCCACCTGACAGCTTATAAGAAGGTGGAATGGACATTCTGCTGAAAACTGAGAGCTCCTTCGTGTGTTAATGTTTACACTGGCGGTAATGATAGTGTCTGTCTCAATTAATAACGTTGTTCTGTTCTTCGTGTCCTGTCCAACAGAACATAGTGCATGCATTATTAACCAACTATTGTGTTCAAGTGACCTGCTAGTGGTGTATGTTGAGAGAACATCTTCATTTTCTCATGACGTGCATCTGAATATACAAATAGGCAAGCAATAGAGTAAGCACAAAATAAAGTCCAGGGTCCAGGACCGATCTCTTGATACCTCATCAGTGCCTGAGGGATGAAATGGGCTATACACTGATTTTTTTTTCATCCTGTCAAGCAATATTTTATTTTATTTTAGGAGAGGAAAACTTTATTTGGGTGATTCTGCACTTTTCCCAAGAGTATGGTACGCTGCTAGAAAAACAACTCTGCCTTGTCAACAAAACAGTCATCTAAAAAGTCATGTTACGTTCAGCACCGGGCAAGTTCTCTGATTCCTACTATTTTGCACATTGGACTGTCTACTCCGCCTTCTAAAATGAGGGGGAGGAGATTGCAAGTAGACAAGAGGAGAGGCACGCAGACAAGGACCTGTTACTACTACTACTGTTGTAGAAGAAAACTTCTGGGGCAAATTGGCCTCTCCCTTCCCAAAGCAAAGGATCAGATGGAAAGATCTGGTCTGTTAGTTCCCTGAATCATGGCAATCCAAGGCTTGGGTTACAATCCTCAAACTATTATTGTGAAGATTCCGGAGTAGCACAATCGAACTATTTCAGAGTAAATGGCAATGCCAGTTTACAAACCTTGGCTATTTTTTTTCTCCCTAGAGTGAAAACAAGCTTCAAAAGAGACTTGCAAGCCAATCCAATACATTTTCTCAAAAGTATGTCCAACTGAGCTCACTGGAACTTGTTCCCAGTTATGTGTGCCTGGGATTGCAGCTTCAATTACTTTTAAATCTTAATTTATTGGCATCACCTTCCAAATATCATTGATTGAAAAATTGCACATCATTTTGTTGCCTCCCTGTCATGAGTTGGGAAGAACTTCTAGTGGTGCTAAATTCTGCCTTCAGAAGCTCCCAGTCACTCCACCCAATTCTACTAAGGTTTAATCTGGAATCTGGGGATGGGGGCAGAGAGACAGAGAGACCTAATGTCCAACAAGTGTGAATTGAAAAGGGAGGGTCATTCGCTCTCCAACTTTTGGAACCAATCCCCACTGCACAGCTTCCTAAAACCATTCTTGTTTCACCCTGCAAATCCCACAGTTGCCCAGCTCCCCAAATCCTCAGTTCACCCACCTCGCAGTAGACATCTTTCCCTGGGTAACCCGCTTTCATTTTGCATAACTCCTCAACCTTTGGAGCAGTCTGGTCACATTTACTCATGCTTTTACGCACAGATATATTTCATTTTCCGTGTTAGCAGTTCAGCACCGAACAGCACCCAAAGTTTAGGAAGCTTCCCTTCCGACGTCCCTCTCCTTGGCATCTCACAGTTTCTCAACTCTTGGCGCCCTCAAACCTTCCACTTGCACCCATCCGGCATCGCGCGGGGGACTTACCTATGGTGGTGATAACTGTGATGGCAAAGTAGAAAGACCCTGCGAATTTCCACTGGACCCCTGCCCGGTGGGGCTCCAACTGCATGATAATCTCCTCCAGCTGCTGGTAGTCGTCGTTGGTGATGTTGTACTTCCCCTTGAGCCGGGTCTCCTCGGCTTTCAGCTGCTCGTCTTCGCGCATTTCGTGGTCGGACTCCAGGGCATCAAAGACGGCCGCCCCCACCAGCAGGTAAGTGAACGTGCAGATGATCAGGGAGAGGGTCCGCACGTTCTGCCTCTTCATGGCCGCCAGGAAGGGCCCACGGAGGGGACCATGTCCCCCCCTGGCCGCCCGGAGATCCGACAGGGTGCAACAGAGGCAGCCGCCGAGCGAGGCGAGCTGCAAGCGGCGCCTGGCGGGGCTCGGTGGGCTTCCTCGAGGAAGCTGCTGTCCTTGGTGCTGAAAGCGCGGTGGCGGCGGCTGCTCGGGCTGCTGCCGCCGCTGCTGCTGCTCTGGCTGTTGCTGCTGCTCTCCGCCTCGCGGATCGGGCTCCTGTGAGGCGGACAGGCACAGAAGGCTGCTGGAGCGTCTCGACCACGGACCTTGCAGCCGGCAAACTCTGCGCAAGACCTGTCCAAACCAAGCTGTCCCGGCGCGCAGGGCCATCAAGGGCACCTCTTCAGGAAACCAGATCTTGCCCACCCGAGGAGTCGAAAGGAGGCTCAGCCCGAGGACCAGAGGCAGGTCCCCCCCTCCACGCCGCCGCCCACAGTTTTCCCAAACTCCCCAAAACTCCCTCCCCGCCCTCTTAGCAAGGGAAAGCCAAGAGGGAAGTCGAGTCCGTCGGGGAGAGCGGATCTTGCCCGCCCCGCCACCTGTCTCCCCGCAATCGCCCTTCCCCGCTCGGGTTGGGGTTTATTCCGCACTTGTCGAGCCCCAGGGGGAGCGGGCTAAGGACGCGAAGAGGGGTCCCATCAGAGGGGCGGCGGGACGGCGGCACGCCCCTTCCAATCCATGTGCGACTGGGCTGTCCCTCCCGGGAGAGGCCAGCGGGTCCCGTCTCCAGATGTGGCCGGTCCAGGTGTGCGCCGGTAGGATGCCGGCACAGCATCAGCCACGTCCCAAGAAGACTTCTTTTTGGGGCGCTGCCTCTTTGGAACGGAGGAAGAACTTCCGGTAAGTGGGGAAGGAAACTGACCAGCTTGCAAGCGCCACGGCGGCTCTCCCCCACCCCCAAATGATGCAAATTTTCACCAGGCACGCGCACAGGCACACACGAACACACACACACACACACACACACACACACTTCTGCAGGCTGCTGCTTCCTTCGAGCAAAGCCTTCAAGTATGATCAGTAGCAATCTTGAGGCAGATCGTTCCAGGAGTCGCCACGAGGATCATACAAAGCGCGCACAGCCTTTGCTTTGCAGCCACCAGCGTGGCTGCGGGGAGACGGGGCAGGAGGAGGCGGCGAAGTTCGCGAAATCCAGCTTTCTTTAGGGTCAGTTGCGATTTGGCTGGGGGGGGTCGCGGGGGGGGGAGGTCTCTTAATGCAGCCAGCCCCTTTCTGTTACTGTTTCGGAAGGGAGATTGCTTTTGGAGGGGAAGAGGGAGAAGAAGAGCCCACCGTTTGGGGGCAGGGCGATTGTCGCTGGAACAGATAGACGATGCTGAAGGAGAAGATCTGGAAGACCAGCCGGGGTAAGAAGGAGACGGTCTCAGACGTCAGCTTGCGGCTTTGGGGTCTCATAGTCGGACTCACGGCAGGGGCGCGCTCGCTCGCTTTTCTCCTCCTCCTCTTCCTCTTCCTCCTCCTCTTCCTCTTCCTCCTCCTCGCTGGAGTAAAAGGCAGACAGTCTGGGTCTTCTGTGGAGACAGGTGCGCGCCTGCCTCAGGATCCTTTATCTGAAAGGCTGCCGTTTGCCGGGGGAAGGAGTGGAATGAATGAATAATTGGGGGAGGGGAGGGGGGAGATTGTGTGTGAGAGAGAGAGGCGTGGCCCAAGGATGCAAAGGAATCTCCCGGTCGCGCGTGGGATCGTCTGGGAACCAACTGGTCGCACCCGCCAGTGCGCCACGCTCCTTTGCTCTTTTCGCAGACACTGAGAAGATGGGCTCGCCTGAAGCCGAAGATGAGAGCGCTACAGAAGGCACTTGGTCTTGCCAGTCTCCCTGCCTTAAAGGAGAGAGTTAACAGCCATCAGGATTCAGAAGGGGGAGGAGCACGGAGGGGGAGGGGGAGGGAAGCAGGACCCCTTGTCTTGACACTCTTCCATCCCAACCCCACTCCCCAGAAAATGAGACTCAAAGTATTGGAGAAATTATGGGGCCTGAGGTGAGGGGGACATGGCTCTATGTTTGTGTATATCTTCGGTTCTGGGTCGTATCCTCTTTAAGGCTGCCTCCCCCACGACAAAGCAGCCCCCCAGCGTCCTAACTGCTTGACATCACCGGGAGTGGGAGGGGTGGCGTGCGCGCCTTCCTCCTCCATCACCATCTTCCTTCCTCGCCCAACGCAAAGCCAAGCCGGGCTGGGCTGGGCTTCATCTCCTGGGATGTTTCCAGCCCCAGAGAAGAGTTGGCGGTGGGGTTTATGCGAGCCAGCCGTCGCCGGCGGAGAGTCTCCCACCGCCTTCAACCGCGCGCCTCCCTCAATAGCTCAGCGCACTTCCCAGCGCTTGCCTCTGAGCGCAGACGGAGAAGCGCCCGCCCGCCCTTTCTCTTCTCATCCACCCACCTTGTCTGGAAAAAACTGGAACTCGTCGGCTGCCGTCTCCCGACCTGCTCTCTTGGTGTCCGCGGTCTCACTCACTCATTCTCTACATCCTCTGGCCCCGCCCACCCCAGATGTGGACCCGCCCATTCTGCTCCTCTTCTTTAAATAAGCTGCGAGCTGGAGGAAGGGGATTTGGAGGGAGGGGGAGACAGATGATGTGCAAAAATCCAGGCACCGGGGACTCCCTTCCCTCGCTTTGCCAAGGCGTAGCAGTCTTCTGGTCTTTGGGAATGAAGCCACAGGACAAAGATGTAGCTAAGGTTGCCACCATTTAATTCTGGGACTGCGGCTGTGACTCTTAGCAGACAGAAACTAAGCAAGGGAAACTTTCCGTGGCCTGGAAACAAAGTAATTGGGGCAGGTTGGAGAGAATGTCACCTGCTTTCTTTTCAAAATTCTGAGCCACCTTCACACATTCTGGGCTTGGATCCAGACTTGGCCAGTTGCAGTGTGATCGTGCAGACCTACCCATGCCTCCTCAGAAGTAAGCCCCTTTTAGCTCAATGGGACTGCGATCCTAGTTCCACTTTCCTGGGACTAAGTCCCATTGAAAGTGAGCTGTAGCCAATGGCGTTTCACTCAGACCCACTGAAATAAATGTGCGGAAAACAGTCGTGCTCATGAATTGCAAGAGCTCTGCTCTGAGTAGGGCTAGTATTGGATACAGCCCCATGGGATGTATGTCTGAGTAGACGTGTATAGGATTGGGTGTTTTATCCCCCACTGAAAGTAACGGGACTTGTCAGTCATGACACTTCTTTCAAAGTTACTTAGGTGTAACTGACTTTGTCCAGACCCAACCCTATGTGGGTTTATTGATTGATTGCTTAACAAGCTTCATATTCCTTCTTCTTAGCTCTCTCTCTCTCTCTCTTTCTAAACCCGGTGCTAATAATAAGATGTTGTCAGGGCCGCCTCAGGTCCCAGCTCACAAGAGACCAACGCCAAGTCCACTTTATTTACAAAAGTCTTTATTGAAGTACATTGTTTGTTCCACAGCCGAGGCGCGCAGCCCCACGTCTGTTACGCTGAGACCGCTGAAGTCCCCTCTGAATCAGTCCCGCCTCTACACCAGTTTAAGAGGCTTGTGCTGGTCCACCTCTTCCTGTCCTTCCTTTTCCGCAGGGTCTTTCTGCCCCCCTGGGTTCCTTCCCTCCTGCTTTCCCCTGACGCTGAGTCCCCAGACGCCTGCTCCCCCCTCCTCCGTGCTTTGGGACCAGGCTCCTCCTCCGGGCTCTCCGCATTTCCGCGCGCCTCCACATTTGAACTTGGCGCGCGTTCGCTACCCCTGACCTTCCTCTTGACAGTTACACTACTCTCTGTACTACTCTCCGCCCCTTCCGGCAGGACGTCTTGCCCCGATCTCCTTCCCCTCTCTGCTTCCTGCTCTGTCACACTGGGAACTCCACCCTCTTCACTCCGTTCCGATGGGGAAGCCGGCCCCGATCTCCAACTCCCACTCGGGGTTTCCCTGCTGCTCCCCTGCTCCTGACGAGTCCCCCCTGTGGCCCCCCTTGGCCTGACCAGGGGCGCCCCCTTTTGGGAATCCTCCGATTCACTTGAGAGACTCATGGAAACCCTCAAGTCATTGTCATCCTCCTCCTCCTCGTTCCTGGATTCTTCCCCCTCGCTCTCAGTCTCCTCCCTCATCTGTGCCTCTCTCCCTGAACCCCTGACAGATGTGATCAAAATATAAAGCAAGTCATACTTTAAAATAAGCAGACAGCAAACAAAAAGGCACTGCATGCATCAAAAGTAAAAGTATTCAGCTCTTAATAGAGTGAATGAGCAATCCTTAACTTCTGAATGTGGCCAACACTCTTCTGTAAGTGCATGTCTTGTGCAAATACACTTACTGGGAAGTGGAGATAGACTGCAGCTGCAAGGTGTGAAGGATATACGTAGTAAGGACTCTGCAGTCGCGCCATCTGTGAGACAGTCCTCAGGTTGTTAAAGGCAAAAGGACCAGAGCCCAGGAAAAGATAACAACTTGAGTGCGTATTCACACATTGCTAAAAGCACCACTGAGCCCATCCCATACTGCACAATTCAAAGTGTTGGTGCTGACCTTTAAAGCTCTAAACCAGGCATCCCCAAACTCAGCCCTCCAGATGTTTTGGGACTACAACTCCCATCATCCTTGGCTAACAGGACCAGTAGTCAGGGATGATGGGAATTGTAGTCCCAAAACATCTGGAGGGCTGAGTTTGGGGGTGCCTGCTCTAAACAGCCTTGGTCCAGTATACCTGAAGGAGCGTTTCCACCACCACCACCAATCGTTCAGCCCAGACACTGAGGTTCTCCTCCGAGGGTCTTCTGCTGGTTCCCTCACTGTGAGAAGTGAAGTTACAGGGAACCAGGCAGAGGGCCTTCTCAGTAGTGGCGCCCTCCCTGTGGAACGCCGTCCCACCAGATGTCAAGAAGATAAACACCTATCTGACTTTTAGAAGACATCTGAAAGCAGCCCTGCTTAGGGAGTTTTTAATTTTTGATGTTTTGTCGTGTTTTTGCTATTCTGCTGGGAGCTGCCCAGAGTGGCTGGGGAAACCCAGACAAAAGGGTGGGGTATAAATGACGCAAGCTAGAAAGCAGATGAGAGCCACATTTTGCAATCAAAGTTCACATTTTTATTATAATTATTATTCCATAAATCACTGCCCTTTGTCAAAAGGCTGCAGAGTGGCTTACCACATAGAAACATAATAAACCACATAATGCGCCCATATAACATAGGCTAATGCAGAGATTACAGTGCCTTTGAATCACAGATGATGCAACTTGCAGCTTAGAGGTGAAAATGAACAAAGAACACAAGGACACAGGCTCACTGCTTGACACCAGTGCAAGTCTCAGTCTTGGGACAAATTATAAACCAAAGTTGCTACATATGTGGAATTATTTCCTCTTAACAGTGAGTTGACCTTGCCAACAAAGGTCCGTATAGTTAAAGCCATGGTTTTCCCAGTAGTGATGTATGGAAGTGAGAGCTGGACCATAAAGAAGGCTGATCGCCGAAGAATTGATGCTTTTGAATTATGGTGCTGGAGAAGACTCTTGAGAGTCCCATGGACTGCAAGAAGATCAAACGCATCCATTCTTAAGGAAATCAGCCCTGAGTGCTCACTGGAAGGACAGATTGTGAAGCTGAGGCTCCAGTACTTTGGCCACCTCATGAGAAGAGAAGACTCCCTGGAGAAGACACTGATGCTGGGGAAGATGGAGGGCACAAGGAGAAGGGGACGACAGAGGACGAGATGGTTGGATAGTGTTTTCGAGGTTACCAGCATGAGTTTGACCAAACTGCGGGAGGTAGTGGAGGACAGAGGTGCCTGGCGTGCTCTGGTCCATGGGGTCACGAAGAGTCAGACACAACTAAACGACTAAACAACAACAACAAAACAGTGGGTTGTACAACCAGCCTCCACGGATGAGAGCTTTGGTGTGCTGGGCTCCCATGTTCAAAAGGATGGCCTCCAGGCAGACTCGAACCACATTGGCTCTTGGTTTCGAATAGTTATAGCCACATGGCTATCCACACCTGCCACCCAGACGTTATGGTTTACAGTTCCCATTATCTCCAGGTCTGCAAGGGAGCATGCTCAAATCAGTGGCCCATGCAGGAGTGCAGGGACGGCGAATCATCCGGACTTTCAAAACAAGCCCTTTGTTGCTGTAGAAGTGAAGCGGGTCTCAGGAGGTTGGGCAAACACAGTCTTAGAGTCCTGGCTCATTTCTGGGCTTGGGGTCAACAACAGGCAATAATCCTTTGGCAACACTCTGGCAGGGCCCAGCAGCAAAATCAGCACTCTTGGCTTTCCACAAAGCAGCACTCTTAGGGCATTGCAAGGAATTAAAAGGATAACTGAACACTTGGTCTGATCAGAGGGCAATTACTTGCCACTGTGATGTAAGCCACTCTATGTAAGCCAATAGGAGGGGGCTCGGCGGAGGACCCTTTGGTGAGAACACCCTCCAACTTGCAGCTCTCCCCTGCCCCAGCCTCCTCTGCTTGGCAGTGATCCTGTTTTCCTTTTCTAGCTTTCCCTGGCAAATAATGGAGCGCAGGTTTCCCGCCTCTCTTATTTTCTCTTTTTATGTATGCGGAGCCTGAAATTTCAAGGTGGCTGTGCAATTATTGCACCACTTAATAGATGTGTTCGGTAACCCCACTGCTGAGAAGCTGTGGAATGGCAGAAAGGCGAAATGCTACTGAGGGGTCTCTTCCCCCCACCCCCGCCACCCTTCTGCTTAATTGTAGGAGACGTTTTCCTGGGGTAATAGAGGAGGTACCTCTACACAATTTCACTCTTTGAGAAATTAAGGCAGTTTGGAAACAAGGCAGGCACGTTGCCCTGGGAAATAGAGGTAAATCACACAGAGAGCTACTGATAATGGACTGAAAGGGGAATCTGGACCACATTCACGGCCCTAGAGGAGAGGGGTCTTTCTAGGGTGTCAATAGTGCATGGGCGAACTTCTCTAGCTTTGTGTGGCTGGCATCATTGAGGGAGAGTTAGAGAGAGGAGCAACAGCCATTGGGAAGTTACAGGTGTATTCAGCAGGTGATTGCTTTGCTGAGCACAGAGCCTCCATTCATCATCAGATTTCTGCAGCAAGCTGCTGGAGAGGCAAATCCCACGGGAGAGAACTGCCGTGTCTTCAGCTCAGGAGCATTTTTAGAAGCTCAGAGGTCATTATTGTTTCCAGGCTTATAATTTATACAGTAACCTTTTAATTGCAGCCAGGAAGGGCCAGTTTATAAAGTCAGCACAATTGGTTGACATTCCTGGACCACGTTTCGTTTCTTTTCTTTTCTTTTCTTTTCTTTTCTTTTCTTTTTTTCTTTTCTTTTCTTCTTTTCTTTTCTTTTCTTTTCTTTTTTTTTCTGGTGGATTTTTTCCCCTCCTGATTTTTATGCATCTGAACAAGTAGGCTCTAGACTATGAAAGCTTAGACCACAATACCAGTCTTTAAGGTATTGTGGAGTGGGGCAATAGCTTGTGGTGGACCAGATGTGTTGCATCTCCAGAT